TTGAGTTGGGGTCTCCTGCATGGTTGGAGGAAGATCATACTCTTCAGTAGGTTGTGAAGTTATTGTAATTTCCACATCCGCAGGTTGAACTGTGATTTCATTCAGGTTTGGATACTGAGTCTGAACCAGGTTTGGATGTCGAGTTGTAGTCTTCAAGGTTGTAGAATGTTCAACCCTTACAGTGGGTTCTTGAGTTATAGTAAGCATCAGATCCAAAGGCTGAAATCCAACACTGGGCAGTGTTGGAGATTGAGTTTGATGACCTGATGTTGGAACTGTCATCTCATAAGATGCTGAACTTTCAGCTGCAACCACCTTACGTGGCTCTGAAAGTTGAGTTGGGGCCGTTTGCTTGACTAGAGCAGATTCCACCCTATTAAGTGGCTGTGGAGGAGAAGCTGTGACCTCTTGCTGGGTTGGACGTGGTTCCATCACCTCCAGGAGCTGTGGTTGTAGAGATGCTGCCCTCTGCTGATCCAGAGAAGGTTCTACCATCATAAGTGACTCTGGAGACTGAACAGGGGATGTCTGCTTCAATGAAGAGGATTTTGCCTCATGAGGGGGCTTTAGAAGCTGAGGAGGGGCCTCTTGAAAGGCCAAAGAAGGCTCTGCCAACTGCTCTGGAGAAGGTTCTACCTTCTTAAAGGTATCTGGAGTCTGAGCTATGGCCTCATGATGGGCCAGAAATGATTCAAACTTTATATGGGTTTCTGGAGGCTGGGAAAGAGGATTAGACTGGATTGGAGGAAATCCAATGTGCCCAGTGGCAATTAGAGGCTGAATAATGTCTTCCTGCTGGACTGGAGAATATTCAACCTCCGTAGTGGGTTCTGGAGTTACCAGCCCCAGTGCCACATTGGTGTTAGGCACCATGGGATCCTGAGTTGTACGCGGAGGTAGAGGTAAAATTGTTATCTCATCACTCAGCAAAGGATAATCGGTATATTCCATAGGAAATGCTGGAGGCTGAACTGGGGCCTCCTGATGACTTAAGAAGGACTCGACCTCAGTGGTTTGTGAAAGCTGGATTGGGGCTTCCTGCTCCAGTAGTGAAGTTTCAATTAAAGAAGCTTCAATCTCCTCTGGAGCCTGTGATTGCTGAGCTGTGGCCTCTTGCTGGGCTGGATATGGTTTTTCATCCCTAGCAGGTTCTGGAGATTGAGTGACAACTTCCTGTGCAACTGGAAAAGGTTCAAGTGTCTCAAGAGGTTCTGGGGCCAGAGTTGGGACCTCATGCTGGGTTCCAAAAAGTTCCCCATTATTAGCTGGCACTAAGGGCTGAGATGCATCCTCATGGTGGATTGGAGAAGTTCCCACCACACCAGCAGGCTGTATTACGGTAAGCTCTAGATCCGCAGGTTTAAGGACATTTGTCAAGACTGAATGATGATCTTGACTGTGACCTGGTGGTATAACTGTGGGTTTATTATTCTGTGGAGACTGAGATGAGGCCTGCTGCAGGACTGAAGTTTCAGCCTCTTCAGGAGCCTCAGCCAGCTGCTCTTGCACAGAGAGAGGTTCAGCCTCCAGAGGAATGTCTGGAAACTGAGCTGGTGCCTCCTGTTGGATTGCAGCTTCCACACCCTCGGGGTCCTCTGCAGGCTGAGCTGGGGCCTGCTCCTGGTTTGGAGTAGATTCAACCCTCTTACCTGCCTCTCTAGATATCATAAGCTCCTGCGC